TTGAACAGGCTTTTAAACTTATTGGGGTAATAAGTTCTGAAACTGAGGAGAGGATTAAACGCGAGCATAATTTTGTACTGAGAAACATTCCGAGTCACTTATCTGCTATGGATGGAGCTCATTTGTTCCTACAAAGTTGTGGCTTCAGTTTCAGTGTCGCACAAGCTAAACGACTGCGGTCGCTTAACCGTAATGCGCCGATTCTAGTTACCCTTTTCGGCTGGATACCAGTGTCGCAACAGTACGATTCGCAGCGAATCGTACTGTTGCGACATTAAAAAATAAAGGCCTACTGATTAATTTCAGTAGGCATGTTTGTTTAAAATACTGCCTTCTGGTGCTTTTCCCTTTGCATGCGCGTCCGTCGTGTCTATCCGGGTATTGCTTGTGCTATTGGTGATACAATCACTCACCGCAATTTATATCAGTATTATTCGTTGCAAAGGTGGCTGCCCCACTACGTGTCTATGTACGGTATTGGAAGTAACTTTCTGATGTTGGAATTAAGCGCATTGCTAACAGTTGCACAGTCATTGACGTTAATGGAACTAGCAGTATTTCAGTCAGCGCTACCTATAACATCAAACATAGTAATGTAGTCGTGGTCTTCTCAATGGTAGTATTCGAAGAAGTAGTAGTAGAATAGTAGTAGTAGGAGTAGTAGTAGTAGTAGCAGTAGGAATAGTAGTAGTAGTGGCAGTAGTAGTAGTAGTAGTAGTAGTAGGAGTAGCAGAAGTAGTAGCGGCAGTAGTAGTATTAGGAGTAGTAGTAGCAGCAGTATTAATAGTAGTAGAAGTAGTAGTAGTAGTAGTAGTAGTAGTAGAAGTAGAAGCAGACGGAGTAGTAGTAGTAGTAGCAGTACTAGCGGTAGTAGTACTAGTAGTAGAAGTAGTAGACGTAGTAGTAGTTTCAGCAGTAGTATTGGTAGTAATAGTAGTAGTAGTAGTAGTAGTAGTAACAGAAGCAGTAGTTAGTAGTAGTAGTCGCAGTAGCAGTATTCAGGGTAGTAGTAGTAGTAGTATTTGCAGTAGTAAAAGTAGTAGTAGTAGTAGGAGTAGTAGAAGCAGTAGTAGTAGTAGTAGTAGTAGTAGTAGTAGTAGTAGAAGCAGTAGCGGTAGTAGAAGTACTAGGAGTAGTAGTGGTAGTATTAGTAGTAGTAGTAGAAGTAGTAGAAACAGGAGTAGTAGTGGAGATAGTGGTCGTAGTAGTACTAGTAGTACAAGTAGTAGTAGTGGTATTATTATTATTATTAGTAGTAGTAGTAGTAGTAGAAGTAATAGGGGTAGAAGTAGTATTAGGAGTAGTAGTGATAGTATTAGTAGTAGCAGTAGTCGTCGTAGCAGTATTCGGAGTAGTAGTAGTAGTAGTAGTAGTAGTAGTAGTAGTAGTGGTAGAAGTAGTTGGAGTAGTAGTAGTAGTAGTAGTAGTAGTAGTAGTAGTAGACGTAGTAGCACTAGTAGTAGTAGTAGAAACAGGAGTAGTAATAGAGGTAGTGGTAGTAGTAGTGGTAGTAGAAGAAGTAGTAGTAGTAGCAGTGGTAGTAGTAGTAGTAGTAGTAGTAGAAGTAGCGATAGAAGTAGTATAAGGATTATTAGTGGTAGAATTAGTAGTAGTAGTAGTAGTAGTAGTAGTAGTAGTAGTAGACGTAGCAGTAGCAGTACTAGCAGTGGTAGTAGTAGTAGTTGTTGGAGTAGTAGTAGTAGTAGTAGCAGTAGAAGAAATATGCGTAGTAGTAGTAGAGGTAGTAGTAGTAGTAGTAGTAGTAGAAGTAGTAGTAGTAGAAGCAGTAGTATTAGTAGTAGTAGTACTAGTACTAGTAGAAGCATTAGTAGTAGTAGACGTAGTACAGGAATAAGGAGAAGCACTAGACGTAGTAGTAGTAGTAATGGTAGTAGTAGTAGTAGTAGTAGTAGTAGTAGTAGTAGTAGTAATAGTAGCAGTAGTACTAATAGTACTAGTGGTAGTAGTAGAAGTTGCGGTAGTAGTATTATTAGGAGCAGTAGTGGTAGTATTTGTAGTAGTAGAAGTAGTAGTAGTAGAATAAAAAGTAGTAGCGGTAATAGTAGTATGATGTGTAGTAGCGGTAATAGTATTATTAGGAGAAGAAGTGACAGTATCAGTAGTTGTAGAAGTAGAGGTAGTACTAGTAGTAGTAGTAGTAGTAGTAGTAGAAATAGTAGTGGTAGTAGTAGTAGTAGTAGTAGCAGTATTAGTAGTATTAGTAGTAGTAGTCGTAGTAGTAGTAGAATTAGGAGAAGCAGTAGAGGTTATAGAATTAGTAGTAGTAGTAGCCGCAGAAGTATTATTTGTAGAAGCAGTCGCGGTAGTAGTAGTATTAGAAGAATTACTGGTAGTATTAGTAGAACTATTAGTAGTAGTGGTAGTGGAAGCAGCAGAAGTAGTAGTAGTAGTTGTAGCTGTAGTAGTAGTAGTTGTAGCTGTAGTAGTAGTAGTAGTAGTAGCAGTAGTAGTAGTAGTAGTAGTAGTAGTAGTAGTAGTAGTAGTAGAAGTAGAATTAGTAGCACTAGTAGTAGTAGTAGAAGCAGTAGAATTAGTAGTAGTAATAGGAGTAGTACTGGTAGTATTAGTAGCAGTAGTAGTAGTAGAAGCAATAGCGGTAGTAGTAGTACTAGGAGTAGGAGTGGTAGTATTAGTAGTAGTAACAGTAGTATTAGTAGTAGTAGTAGTAGTAGAAGCAGTAGCGGTAGTAGCAGAAGTAGGAGTAGTGGTAGTAGTAGTAGTAGATGCAGTAGTATTATTAGGAGAAGAAGAGGTCGTATTATTATTATTATTAGTAGTAGTAGTAGTAGTAGTAGCAGCAGTGGTAGTAGAAGTACTAGTCGCAGTAGCAGTATTCGGAGTAGTATTAGTAATAGTTGGAGTAGTAGCAGTAGTACTAGTAGTAGAATAAATAGGAGTAGTAGTAGAGTTAGTAGAAGTACTAGTAGTAGTAGTAGCTGTATTAGCAGTACTAGTAGTAGTAGTAGTAGTTGTAGTAGAAGCAGTAGTAGTAGTAGTAGTAGTAGTAGAAACAGGAGTAGTACTAGAGTTAGTAGTAGTAGTAGTAGTAGTGTTAGTTGTGGTATTAAAAGCATTAGTAGTAGTGGTAGTAGTAGTAGTAGTAGTAGCGGGATTAGTAGTATAAGGATTAGTAATGGTAGCATTAGTATAAGTAGTATTAGTAGCAGTATTAGTAGTAGTAGAAGTAGTCGTATTAGCAGTATTCGGAGTAGTAGTAGTAGTAGTATTTGGAGATGTAGTAGTAGTACTAGTAGTAGAATAAATGGGAGTAGTAGTGGAGATAGTAGTAGTAGTATTAGTATTAGTAGTAGCAATATTAATAGTGGTAGTAGTATAAGCAGTAGCGGTATTAGTATTATTAGGAACAGTAATGGTAGTATTAGTAGTAGTAGTAGTGGTAGTAGTAGTGGTAGTAATAGTAGGAGTAGTAGTAGTATAAGTAGAAGTAGTAGCGGTAGTAGTAGTAGTAGTAGTAGTAGTAGTAGCAGTAGTATGAGTAGTCATAGTAGTATTCGTAGTAGTAGTACAATTACGAGTAGCAGTAGAGGTAATAGTATTAGTAGTAGCATTATTAGGAGTAGTAGTGTTATTAGTAGTTATATTATAAGGAGTCTTAGTGGTAGTATTAGTAGTAATAGTAGTAGTAGCAATATTATAAATAGGAGTGGTAGTAGAGGTAGTAATATTAGTATTATTAGTAGTTGTAGTAGTAGAATTAGTAGTAGTGGCAGTAGTAGTATTAGAATTAGTAGTAGTAGAAATAGGAGTAGTAGTATAGGTAGTAGTAGTAGTAGTCGTAGTAGTAGAATTAGGAGTAGCAGTAGAGGTAGTAATAGTAATCTTTGCAGTAGTAGTAGTAGTAGTAGTAGTAGAAGAAGAAGCGTTATCGGTTGTAGAAGTATTAGGCGTAGTAATGGTAGTATTAGTAGTAGTATTAGTAGTAGTAGTAGTATTAGTAGTAGTAGTAGTAGTTGTAGTAGTGTTAGCAGTAGTAGTATTATTATTAGGAATGTGAGTAGTAATATAGGTAGTAGTTGCAGTACTAGTAGTAGTGGTAGTAGTAGTAGTAGTAGTAGTAGTATTAGTAGCAGTATTCGGATTAGCAGTAGCAGTAGTAGTAGTAGTAGTATTAGTAGTAGTAGTAGTAGTAGTAGTAGTAGTAGTAGTAGTAGTAGTGGTATTAGTACTAGTAGTATTAGTCGTAGTAGTAGAATTAGGAGTAGAATTATAGTTAGTATTAGCAGAAGTAGTAGTAGTAGTAGCAGTAGTAGTAGTAGTAGTACTGGAAGCAGTAGCGGTAGTAGTATTAGTAGGAGTAGTAATGGTAGTATTAGTAGTATTAGTGGTAGTTATAGTATTTTCAATTTTCGGAGTAGTAGTTGTAGTATGAGTAGTAGTAGTAGTAGTAGTAGTATTAGTGGTAGACGTAGTAGGAGAATTAGTATTAGCAGTATAGGTAGTAGTTGTAATAGTAGTAGTAGCAGTAGCAGTGGCAGTAGTAGTAGTATTATTAGTAGTTGTAATAGTAGTAGTAGTCGAGGTATTAGCGTTAGTCGAATTATTAAAATAGGTAGTTGTACCATTAAAAAAATTGGTATTTTTGGTGCCATCAGCGTAGTGGCATTAGTAGCAGGGGTAGAACTAGTAGTAGCAATAGTAGTAGGAGCACTATTAGTAGTAGTAGTGATATTAGTAGCAATTATAGCAGCAGTAATAAAAGTAGTAATAGTGGTAGCAGTGGAATTGGTGGTCGTGTTAGTAGTAGAACTGGCGGTGGCAGTATTAGTAGTAGAAGTAGTAGTAGCAGAATTACTCATAGTAGAATAAGTAGTAGTAACAGTTTTAGTAGAAGTAGTAGTAGTGTTAGTAGTAGAAGAAGTAGTAGTAGTAGAAGAAGCAGTAGCAGTAGCAGTAATAGCAGCAGTACTAAAAGTAGTAATAGCGGTAATATTAGTATTGGTGCTGGTGGAATTATTAGTGGTGGTGGTAGCAGTAGTATTACTGGCGGTGACAGTAGTTGTAGTAGTATTAGAAGTAGTATTAGTAGTATCTATACCATAACAACTGTCTCTGAAGGGGACATTGATGACAACAAAAACTTTCGGGATGCCAACTGTGCGTATAAAAATAAACGACAGCGCCCTATTGATCGCAATAAATGCATCATCGTAAAGGGTATGCCTGAGTCTTCTTCAGACATCCCAAAGAACAGAATAAGCCACGATATAGAATTATTCCAGCAATACCTCAAATCCCTATTACAAGAGAACGGGAACATCACCGTATTGAAAGCTTTCAGGATAGGACCCATTAAGGATTTGGAGGGCGAGTCGGGCCATCACAGACCATTAAAAATTATTCTCGAAAGTGAGGAACAAGCACTATTACTGCTGAATAGGAAACCAACACTGCGAAATGCCCACCCAACAATTTTTTTTCAACGGGATTTCTCACCGGCCGAACGGGAGAAATGGAGGGAACTCAAGGCCGAACTCCTCAGAAGATACAATGCCGGCGAGAAAAACCTAAGAATAATGAATGGCAAAATCGTAAATGTTCGGAGCTCATTCCTCTGGAAACAACCAATAACACTGAGCATAATGAACAATCAGATAATAAGGAAAGAACGCCCCTATCTGACAAACCGATCAGAGAAAACGACGGACAACATACTAACATCCAGTCCAATCAAACAGCAGTAGACTCGGAAGAGGACGATAGACCCGAAAACTCGCGCGAAGTATCCAGCAACTTCGGCCCAAGAATCGTTCGGGAATCTACCCGGTCTAAGCTCCGCTTTCTTTATGCAAATGCTCAGAGTTTGTTTCATAAGCTAGATGAGCTGAAAGTATGGATAACAGATACGCAGCCGGATGTCATTTCTATCACAGAGACTTGGTTCCAGACCGAAGTCTTGGATGCCGAAATAACACTTGAGGGATACCAACTTTTTCGCCGGGACAGACTGCATAGAAAAGGAGGAGGAATAGTGGTCTACGTCCAGAGAGCAATCATCGCGTCGGAACACAAAACCGATTGCTCCAGCGACTGTGAAGCAATGTGGTTAAAACTGAGGATGCGTGGCGCACCCAATTTGAATTTCCTGACCGTATACAGGCCGCCCAATCAAACTGATGAGGTTGACGAGGCGATGTTTGGGCTAATTAAAGAGGTGTCACAAAACCAAGAGGAACTGATAACCGGAGACTTCAACGCACCCATGGTCGACTGGAACAATTTATTAGTAAATGGTTCGCGAAATGTGTTTGATTCCAGGCTCTTAAAACTAACGGCTAATCTCTTTCTGGTACAAAACGTCGCGTTCCCAACCAGAATCAGAGAGGACCAAAGAGCGAATTGTCTGGACCTCGTCCTTACAAAAGACCCGATTATCCCTGGCGAACTTAGGTCCATAACACCGCTCGGTAAGAGTGACCATGTCATGCTGTTTTGGGAATACCGCCTATGCAGCCAACAAGCGAATACGACTGAGCGTAGACTGAATTTCTGGCGAGGAGATTTTGCTGCCATGAGAAGGGAATTATCGGCAGTGGACTGGGATGACTTTCTTTCCGGACATCCAGACGTTGATTGGATCAATCTCAAAGGAGTTGTAACAGACATCATGCATCAAAACTGTCCGACAAAAAGAGTCAAAAAGAATAATCGTCCTGCCTGGATAACGCGGGATATAAAGAAAGAAGTAAACCGGAAGAACAAACTATGGCGAAGGTATGCAACAACAAAACAACCATCCCATTACGAGCAATTTCCTCAAAAGCGAAACGAGGTAAGGGGGGCTATCCGCAGGTCGCGGAAGGAGTATGAAATGCGAGTTATGGAACGGGCCGTCGATAAGCCAAAAGTGCTCTTCAGCTACATAAACAGTAAGTTACAGAACAAGGAGACGGTCGCAGTGTTGAAAGGAGAAAACGATGAGGATATCATCGAAAATGACGCTAAGGCAGAAAATCTAAGCCGGTTTTTCGTATCGGTTTTCACTGATGAAACGGACTTTGACGAGGCTGGATCTCCTGCCGGGGCAACCGACGAAATAATAGAAAATATCGACTTCACAGAAGAAGATGTGAGGATGGAACTTCTAGCGCTTCAGGAGGGCAAGTCTCCGGGCCCAGACGAAATTCCGGCAAAAGTGCTGAAGGAGTTGTCTTGCGAACTCGCCAAACCGCTTTGGCACATCTTTTGGTCCTCCTTTGACCGAGGCATTCTCCCCTCTGATTGGAAAGTGGCTAACATATACCCCATTCACAAGGGCGGATCCAGAACAAGTACAAACAATTATCGGCCGGTGAGCCTAACGTGCATTTGTTGCAAAGTCATGGAGAGAATAGTCAAAAAATCCATAATGAAGTTCCTTGAAGAAAATGATTTCTTTCCTAGTTCTCAGCATGGCTTTCGAAGAAATCACTCCTGCCTAACTAATATGCTTCATTCAACGGAACAGTGGTCTCGCTCGTTAGACGCAGGAACAAAGGTCGATATCGTTTACATAGATTTCAAGAAAGCCTTTGATAGTGTTCCACACCACCGGTTACTTTACAAGGTCCGAGAATCAGGGATAAGAGGAAACTTATTAAACTGGATAAAGGACTTTCTGACTGGTCGATCACAGTCTGTGTGTATTGGTAATACGAAGTCAACGCCAGTGCCAGTTGTGAGTGGAGTTCCGCAGGGCTCCGTACTCGGACCAGTACTATTTTTAATTTATGTCAACGACTGTATGAATGGACTGGACTGCAATGGAGTCATGTTTGCTGATAACATCAAGTTATGGCGAGCGATCAACGGCGAACATGATGAACGGGCCCTGCAAGAAGGACTGAACCGCCTATGCGAATGGTCGGACAAATGGCTGCTAAAGTTTAACCTTGAGAAGTGCGTCGCGCTGCGACTCAAAACGACTGGAAGAGCTGACGGAGAGGATCACCATTACCAACTTGGTGGAAGGTGCCTCTCAACTGTAATCGAACAAAAAGATCTTGGGATTAACATTTTGTCGACCCTTAAGCCTTCATCTCAGTGTGTTAGGGCGTCCAAAAGAGCAACTAGTGTTCTCTTTGCCATTAAACGATTTTTCGTGGACATAGACAAAGAGTTATTTGGAAAAGTATACGGAGCGTTCATTCGTTCGCATTTGGAATATGGAATCCAAGCGTGGCGCCCGTGGCTAAATAAAGACTATAAGTTGCTCGAAAGAGTTCAGAGGAGAGCAACAAAAATTGTAAAAGGCCTCAGGACTTTACCTTACAACTGCCGACTTAGAGAACTTAAACTTTTTCCTCTTCAGTACAGGTAGGTTCGAGGGGATCTCATACAGGCCTATCGGATATTGAGGAACCGGGAATGTGCCCTAAACCCCGACGATTTCTTCACCCTGGCCGCAACAACAAACCTGCGTGGGAATTCTCTAAAACTTATAGGATCCCGGTGCCGCCTGGATGTTCGCAAATACTGTTTTTCACAGCGAGTCGTCGGTGCCTGGAACGGGCTTCCCGAGGACGCAATAATGGCGGATACCACGGAGACGTTCAAGCAAAGACTCGATGCATATTTGCTTGGACACTATCGATTGTCTGGACAGAACAGCTCTGTGGTGCTAAACCAAAGCCTTGCATACTCATAGCGATGATGCGGATGACTTTCATAACATTTTACTGAAATCATCTGTTCTCAAGTTTTGGTTCTACATTTGCACGGAAAATATTATGTTATACGCATATATTACTAACAACATTTCAGTACCATATTTATTTAAAGTGAAAGGTTGCATGTACAATTTACAATAGGGTTTTCAAAGGCATTGCCGATTACTCATAAAATATACTGACCTATACTGACCTAATAGCAGTAGTAGTGGCAGAATTAAAACTAGTAGTAGCAGTATTTGCAGCAGTAGTAGTAGCAGTAGTAGTAGCAGTAGTAGTAGTGTTAGCAGTATTAGTAGAAGTGGTAGTGTTATTAGAATTAGTAGTAGAAGTAGTAGTAGTAGTAGTAGTATTAGCAGTAGTAGTAGCAGTAGTACTAGAAGTAGTAGTAGCAGTAGTATTGGTAGTATTAGTAGTAGCAAAATTAGCAGTGATAGTAGTATTAGTAGTAGTAGTAGTAGTATTAGTAGTAGTAGTATTATTCTTAATAGTTGCTGGACTAGGCGTAGTAGGATTAGTAGTAGTAGTAGTAGTAGTAGTAGTAGTAGTGTTCGTATTAGTGCCAGTCGTATGCAGTTGCTTGTAGTAGTAGCAGTAGCAGTAGTAAAAGCAATAATATTTGCCGTGGTAGTAGTAGAAGTATTAGTAGTATCCGTAGTAGTAATAGTAGTAGTGGCAGATGTAATATGGTGGTGGTCGCAGCAGTTGTAGTACCGGTATTAGTAGTAGTGGAAGCAGTAGTAGTAGCAGTAGTAGTATTAGTAGTAGTAGTAGCATTAAGACTAGTAGTATTTATTCTGTTAGTAATGGTAGTAGTATTAGTGGTAGTGGTATGTTTGTTGTGACAGCCGTAGTAATAGCGGTGTTCGTAGTATAAATAGTAGTACTCGTAGTAGCATTAGTGGTAGTAATACTAGTAGACATAGTGATAGATGTCGTAGGAGGAGAAGTTGTTCTAAGAGTACTAGTACTAGAATTAGTAGTGGTAGTAGTAGTATTAGTGGTAGTAGTACAATAGTTCTGGTGCTTGTAGTAGTAGTTTTAGTTGTATTAGTAGTAGTATTAATATTACTAGTAGTAGTAATAGTGGTATTAATAGCAGTAATAGTGGTAGAAGTAGCCGCATTTCTATTAGTAGCCGTGGTAATAGTAGTAGTAGTAGAATTATTATTGGCGGTGGCAGTAGTAGTAGTAGTAGTAGTATTAGTAGCAGTATAATTAGTAGTATTAATAATAATAGCGGCAGAATTAAACGTGCTGATAGTAGTAGTAGTAGCAGTAATAGTAGTAGTAGTAGTTTTAGTAGTAGTAGTGGTAACAGTAGTAGTTGTAGTAGTACTAGTAATATTGTTAGTGGTAGTTACAGTAGTATTAGTGGTAGCATTACGGTGGTGGGGGCAGCAGTAGTAGTATTATTAATATTATTAGTGATAGTGTTAGTAGTATTAGTAGTAGTAGTAGTAGTATTAGTAGTAGTGGTAGCACTAATATCAGCGGTAGTAAAAGTGGTAATATTTGTAGTAGAATTATTAGAAGTATTAGTGGTATTAGTAGAAGCAGTGGTGGTTTAAGTAGACGTAGTAGTACTAGTAGAAATAGCAGTCGTAGTAGTAGTAGAAGTAGTATTAATACTATCAGTAGAAGTAGTAGAATGTGTACTATTATTAGTTGTAGTAGTGATCGTTGCAGTAGTAGAAGTAGTATTATTAGTGGTAGTAGCAGTAGCAGTGGTGGTGGATGTAGAAGTTGTGGGGGTAACAGCAGTTGCCGTGGTATTAGTAGTGGTAGTATTAGTAGTAGTAGTAGTAGTAGTAGTAGTAGTTGTAGTACTGTTAGTAGTATGGTTGTGGAGGCGGCAGCAGTAGTAACAGCGGTGGTAGTAGTACTAGTATTATTATTAGAAGTAGTAGGAGTGGTAGAAATGGTAGCAGTAGTAGTGGTAGTACTAGCAATAGAATTCCTAGTAGTATTCATGGTATTAGTAGTGTTCGTAACTGTAGCAGTAGTACTAGTAGCAGTAGTAGTAGTCGTAGTAGCAGTATTTTGAGTAGTAGAAGTAATAGTAGTAGTCGTAGTAGCAGTATTCGGAGTAGTACTAGTAGTAGTAGAAGCAGTAATAGTTGGAGTAGTAGTAGTAGTAGTACTAGTAGAAGAAGAAAGAGGAGTAGTAGTAGTAGCGGTAGTAGCAGTAACAGTAGTAGTAGTAGTAGTAGTAGTAGTAGTAGTAGTAGTAGTAGTAGCAGCAGTAGTGGTAGCTGTAGTAGTAGAAACAGTAGTAGTATTAGTAGTAGTAGAGTTAGTAGCAGTAGTACTAGTATTGTTAGTAGAAGTAGAACTAGTATTAGTAGTAGTGGTAGTAGTAGTAGTAGTAGAAGCAGTAGCGGTATTAGTACTATTATGATTAGTAGTGGTAGTATTAGTAGTAGTAGTAGTATTAGTAGTATTACTAGCAGTAGCAGTAGTAGTTGAAGTAGTAGTAGTAGCAATATACGGAGTAGTAGCAGTAGTAGTAGTAGTTGGAGCAGTAGTAGTAGTAGTACTAATAGTAGAAGAAATAGGAGTAGTAGTGGAGGTAGTACTAGTAGTAGTATAAGTAGTATTACTAGTAATAGTAGTAGTAGTAGTAGACGTAGTAGGAGATCTAGGAGTAGCAGTAGAGGTAGTAGTATTAGTAGTACTAGTAGAAGTAGTAGTACTAGAAGTAGTAGTAGTAGCAGTAGTAATATTAATAGTGGTAGTAGGAGTAGCAGTTGCGGTAGTAGTAGTATTAGAAGCAGTAGTGGTAGTATCAGTATTAGTAGTAGTAGTAGTGGTAGTAGTAGTAGTAGTAGTAGTATTAGTAGTAGTAGTAGGAATAGGAGTAGTAATAGAGGTAGTTGTTACAGTACTAATACTAGTAGTATTAATAGTAGTAGCAGTATTCGGATTAGTAATAGCAGTAGTAGTAGAAGTAGTAGTAGTAGTAGTAGTAGTAGTAGTAGTAGTAGTAGTATTAGTAGCAGTAGACGCAGTAGTGTCATTAGTATTATTAATGGTGGTAGTAGTAGAAGCACCTGCGGTATTAGTAGTATTAGGAGCAGTAGTGGTAATGTTATTAGTAGTACTAGTAGTAGTAGTGTTATTAGTAATAATTGTAGTAGTAGTAGTAGCAGTTGTAGTAGTAGTAGTAGTACTAGATGCAGTAGCGGTAGTAGTAGTATTAGGAGTATTAATGGTAGTATTAGTAGTAGTAGTGGTAGTAATAGTATTATCAGTATTCGGAGTAGTAGTAGATGTATTAGGAGTAGTAGTAGTATTAGTATTAGTGGTAGTCGAAGTAGAAGAATTTGGAGTAGCAGTATAGGTAGTGGTAGTATTAGTAGTAGTGGTATTAGTAGTAGTGGTAGTAGTATTAGTAGTAGTAGTAGTAGTAGTAGTAGTAGAGGTAGTAGCCTTAGTCGAATTATTACAATAGTTAGTTGTACCATTAATAAAATTGGTAGGTTTGTTGCCATCAGCGTAGTGGCATTAGTAGCAGGGGTAGAAGTAGTAATAGCAATAGTATTAGGAGCAGTATTACTAGTAGTCGTAGTGATATTAGTAGCAATTATAGCAGCAGTAATAAAAGTAGTAAAAGTGGTAGCATTGGTATTGGTGGTCGTGCTAGTAGTGGAACTGGCGGTGGCAGTATTATTAGTAGAAGTAGTAGTAGCAGAATTAATACTAGTAAAATAAGTAGTAGTAACAGTTTTAGTAGAAGTAGTAGTAGTAGAAGTAGTAGTAGAAGTAGTAGTAGTAGTAGTAGTAGTAGTAGTAGTAGTAGTAGTAGAAGAAGCAGTAGCAGTAGCAGTAATAGCAGCAGTACTAAAAGTAGTAATAGTGGTAGTAGTAGTAGTATTAATACTAGCAGTAGAAGTAGTAGAAGGTGTACTTGTAGTAGTGTTCGTTGCGGTAGTAGTATTTTTTTTATTAGTGGTAGTAGTAGTAGCAGTGGTGGTGGATGTAGAAGTAGTGGTGGTAACAGCAGTAGCAGTTGGCTTGGTATTAGTAGTGGTATTAGTAGTAGTAGTAGTTGTATTAGTGTTAGTAATATGGTGGTAGTGGTGGCAGCAGCAGTAGTAGTAGCGGTGGTAGTAGTAGTAGTATTATTATTATTAGTAGTAGTAGTAGTGGTAGTAATGGTAGCAGTAGTAGTGTTAGTATTAGCAATAGAATGCGTAGTAGTATTCATGGTATTAGTAGTGTTAGCAACAGTAACATTAGTACTGCTAGTAGTAGTAGTATTAGTAGTAGTAGTAGTAGTAGT